CAAAGCAGTGGACTGTTCTAATCATGACCAAAAGGAGCAAGGCATTTTCTTTCTCTGTATAGGTACAGTTCTCTGTTTCTGCAGAGTGAACTACAAAAATCTCCTCCTTGATTTGAAAGTAATCATCTTTGGTTGAATGACATATAAGATTGTTCTTCTAATGATGCTGTGCTAATGTTATGTTGTGGCTGGTCTCCTGAAAAGGGTGATTGTACCTATTTTAAAAATTTTAACAACAGTTAATTGCCATTCTATCTAAAGTATAATACTCAGGCAAAAGCATGTGTCTTCTTTTAGAATAAAATAGAATCATTCCAGTTGGAAGGGATGTACAATGATCATGTACAACTGCCTGACTGCCTCCAGGCTGACCAAAAGTTAAAGCATGTTATTAAGGGCATTGTCCAAATGCCTCTTAAACACTGACAGGCTTGGGGCATTGACCACCTCTCTGGGAAGCCTGTTCCAGTGTTTGACCATCCTCTTCATAAAGAAATGCTTCATTATGTTGTTTTCTAAAGCGCCCCTGGAGCTGCTTTGAACCATTCCCACACATCCTGTAACTGGATAGCAGGGAGAAGAGATCAGCACCTCCCTCTCCAGTTCCCCTCCTCAAGGTGCTGAAGAGAGCAATGAGGTTGCCCCTCAGACTCCTTTTCTCCAAACTAGACAGTTCTGGAGTCCTCAACTGCTCCTCACAGGACATGCCTTCCAGCCCTTTCACCAACTTTGCTGCCTTCCTCTGGACACATTCAAGGACCTTAACATCCTTCTTAAATTGTGGGGCCCAGAACTGCACACAGTATTCAAGGTGAGACCGCACCAATGCTAAATACAGCTGGATAGTCACCTCTTTTGAGTGGCTGGTTATGCTGTTCTGATGTGCCCCAGGATGTGGTTTGCCCTTTTGACTGCCAGGGCACACTGACTCATGTTGAGCCTCCTGTCAACCTGCTCCCCCAGATCCCTTTCTGCAGGGATTCTCTGCAGCCACTCCTCTCCCAGTTTATACTTGTGTCCAGTGTTCCTCTGTCCCAGGTGCAGAACCTGGCATTTGGACTTGTTAAATTTCATCCTGTTAATCGTTGCCCAGTGCTCCAATCCAGATCCCTCTGCAAGGCATCTTGTCCCTCGAGAGAGTCAACTGCACCTCCCAGCTTAGTATCATCAGCAAACTTGCTAATCATGCATTCAACTCCTGCCTCCAAAACATTGATAAAAATATTGAACAGGACTGTCCCTAGGACTGAACCCTGAAGAGCACCACTAGTGACGGGTCATCAGCCAGATGTAGCCTCATTCACTACAGCTCTTTGAGCCCTGCCGTTCAGCCAGTTCTCCATCCAGCGCACCATGTCTCTGTTCATCTCACAGGCAGACAACTTGTCCAGAAGAATGCTGTGAGGGACAGGAGCAAAAGCCTTACTAAAATAAAAAAGACCTACGTCCTTTGCCCTCTCTTTATCCCCTCGGTGGGTGACGTTATTGTAGAAGGATATCAAATTAACTAAACAGGACTTCCCCTTTGTGAACCCATGTTGGCTGTGCCTGATGATTGCATTGTCATTGAAATGTCTTTCAACAGCACCCAGTGTGATCTTCTCCATAATTTTTCCAGGAACTGAGGTTACACTACCAGCTGTATAGTTTCCTGATGAGTCTTCCCTTATTCTCTTCTTGTAAATTGGAGTAACATTGGCTAGCTTCCAAACAGCAGGGACCTCACCAGACTCCCAAGACATTTGGTAGGCAGTTGAGAGGGGTCCTGCCATCCACTAGCTCCTTCTGTACTCTGGGATGAGTCCCGTCTGGCCCCATGGATTTATGAACATTCAATGGATGCATTTGGTCCCTTACAATTTCAGTGTCCACAAATGGAAAGTCATTGTTCCCATAGCTGTGGTCCTCCAACTCAGAGAACTGGGCAGCCTAAGGTCTATTATAAGTATTAAAGACTGAGGCATAAAAAGCATTGGATGCCTTTGATTTTTCTTCATCCATTTTTGTCAGGGATACTTTAATTTTGGGTGTTTTAAAATGCATTAAAAGGGTTTGCCAGTATGCAGCCAAATCAGTAACAGTACAAAGAAAGACAAAGGTTTCATAATATCAGTTTAAAATAATTCTGACACTTCTTTAATGAATACTATCTTTCCATAATGCTGCAGAAAGTTTATTTTGAAAAGCATATTTTTGAAAGCATATTTTGCTAAAAATTAGCAAGAAATGTATACATCAATATATTTCTTTTTTTCCTAGAATAATTTTCCATATTATTAAATTAAATAGGAGCAATCAAGCCATAAAAACAATCCTATTTTCATTTACTTTCTTAATGAAAATGTTAAAACACAGAGAGCATTCAGTGCCAGTAAAATTGGGAACTTCAACATTTCATTTGTTTTTCAACTTGAACATGAAAATTGAACTGATGTAGCACTACTAAGACACTTTGTAATCTATTGTAAAGTTAGGTTACTTAAAAATATACAGACACAGGTAAGAGATTCCAGAATGTACACTTGACACAAATTGTTTCCCTGCATGATCCCTCTGCAAATAGTTAACCTGAGGAAAATCGAAACAAAGTGATTTCTGCAATAAAAATTCTTTCTCTTCCCAAGCCAGAGGGAAGAGTGGCTTTGATTGAAAGCACTTTCATGGAAAGTGCTTTCTTCACTTTCTATTGAAAGTACAGGATTCTTAGCTTCAGGCATATTTAACATTCATCCCTTGTGTGGCAGGGATTCAAAGCAGTTTAATGCCTACAGGTATTGTGTAACTACCATTTCAAAATACAATCCTCGATGTCTTTGCCAAAGTGCTGATTCACATTTTTTTTTTTGTAGATGGCTGCAAAAAATGTCCAGATCCTCACCAGAACTTGTAAATTGTACATGAAAGCAGACTTCACTCCTCCCTTTCACCCCTATGCATAAGCATAAAGATGGAGTCAGTTTCTATTACTAATTTTCTGTACAGAAAAATAGAGAATGCTATAGCTAAACAAAAGCCAGGACTCTGTGCATGGCTGCCGGCTCCACACACAAACTGCAGAGATGCACCGCTAGCTTGCAGAAGGCTTATGAGATCCAAAGTCAAGAGAAGGAAAGTAATGTTTCACCTCAAAACTAACAGGTGAAGACTTAACCCTATTCTCATCCCACCAGCCCACTTCACCCTTGTTACCCAACAGGCTTTCAGGATGAGATGGTGCTGAAGCAGGAAAAAGTTATGACTTCCTGTTTTCTTCTTGATTTAACGCTACTTCTCTCCACTGAAGGATAACTCTTGGCCAAGAATTGCCCGAGGCATGCTCTGAGACCTTTACAAAACCCTGTTTTGAAAGCTTAATGGGGTTCCCTCCAGAAAGCTAAATGTGGGAGATGCATGAGGAGCCCAGGGTCTCTCCTGCTCTTCTCACCTCCCACAACCACTGTGCAGCAGCATTTTCCCATAGTGTTAGGCAGCAAGTTTAATGCCTACAGGTATTGTGTAACTGCCGTTTCAAATTACAGTCCTCAATGTAAAAGCGTGTCTGATTTTAGTGCATGGTATCAGCACCTGACTATGCAAACATTTCCATTTTATTGTAGCTCTTTCCTCTAAAGTAAAAGATTAAAAAGCCCAGAGAGTCTAGCTCAGTAAGTTCATTTGTAAAGTCAAATGTGAAATGGGAAATAATGCCCTAGGTACTAATATCCTCCAAATTCTAATGCTGCAAGTCATCAGCCTCAATGATGTCCCTACAGACAAACCTGTGGTGATGTTTGGGTAGGTAGGCTAAAAAGTAGATGGAAAACTGCCCGAACTGCTGTGCATTAAGGGCTGCCACCGGGCGTACAAAGTCCAGGTGGTGGCTGGGTACGAGCGCCCTTCCTCGGGGATCGATGCTGAGCCCAAAGTTCTTATCCGCAGCCAGGTCACCAGGCTGGAGCACGCCCCCAGCCCGTTTGCTGTGGTTGCGGTCGGGCGGCGCAGGGGGCGAGGAGCGACCGAGCCGCGGGCAGGGTCTGTGCCTGCTGCGGGAACGCAGCGCCGGAGAGAGGCGTTCCGCTGGGCTGTAAACCCGCGGGCGTCCCTCATCGCTGAAACTCCACAAAACAGCCCATTTTCCGATTCGGGTACCAGGCGAAGGCAGGCAGCTGCCCGGCCCTGCAGCTCCTCACGGCGCTGCCTCTCGGGCTCCCCGTTCTCCCCCCAGCTCCGGCCCGCACTCACTGCCCGGCACCCACCGCCCAGCCGGGGCTC